ATAAATTTCCTTTGGGCTACCATATCTGTGTAAGAATTATTATTAAAACACTGATAGTTGATAAATGCTTTGGCATTTTGTGGTCAAGTCCTGATAATATGAATAACCTCAGGAGAATTAACGAGAGACAAATAACAGATAATGAACCAACAAATCTTTATGAATGAATGAATGAATGAATGAATGAATGAATGAATGAATAATATAGAGAAGTCCAAATACTGCACCTTAATATTTTTATAGAATTCCCTTACACTAGTTGTCGAAACATACTTTGACATGATGGGATTAAGTTTCATAAAATAAATAAATAAATAAATAAATAAATAAATAAATAAATAAATAAATAAATAAATAAATAAATAAATAAATAAATAAATAAATAAATAAATAAATAAATAAATAAATAAATATTATAATGAAAGCATTTGATAGCTTTTGTAATTTCAACGTGCTCATAACATTTTTACCATTATACGTAACATCATCGTAGTGCTTCACATGTAGAAAGTGAATATCATTTGCTCATGGCATGTAAAATCTAAGGAGAAAAGGTTTCCTCCACATTTGTTGCACCCTGTCTGTCTACCTGTCTGTCTGTCAGTCTGTGTATGTGTGTTTGCGATCATGCATGTATATTTCTGAAGGTGATTACTGTCGTCAATCACATCATATACAAGTTAACTCATAGTAGGTAGGTATTGACTATCATCGATGTAATTATTCAACTTATGGTAAGTATTTGCTTAATGCGCATACCAGATAGCAGTCAAAGGCCATATAGCATGAATATAATTCTCAAGCCGTGACATGTGCACAGACAAAGGCTAAACCTAGTCACTTCTTTATGCCTCGTGCACATTATATTTTGCGCGACTGAACCTTGAATGGGTAGTTACGGCCACATGAACGGAGAAAACAGGTCTCCCTGACTAAACTGTGAGGATGAATGACACGCTAATGTGTTCCCACTGCGTACAAGGCAACATGTAAATAACGAAGATTATTTGAGTGCACACCAAATTAAAGTCACTCAGTATCATGCCCTGTTAGGGTGTAAATCAGTAGAATAACGGATAGAACATTAAAGCGAATAATTGTTACTTAAATCTGCACAGCTTTCGGTGCGTCCCCCCTGCCATGTGCGTTTGCGTCCGATATGAGAGGGTGTTCTTAATATGAAGCTATCAGTAGGGCTGTCTTTGAGTGCAGTATGCTGTAGCGTACCTACACCTAGATAGACCTACACCTGCTGCAAGGCGTTCAGGTATAGTTCCTGAAATAATAATACAGAGAAAACGAGGTATTACCTAGACGTACTGTGTCCGCCATTGTTGAAATTTGGTTGCCAGTCACGTGATGAGCGTTCGGGGTTAAAGGTTGGTAAAATTTGTAAACAAACGGTTGTGTGTTTATGGGCAACATTTCCGGGAAACTTGATGTATCAGGGAATGTTATCAGGCAAACATTGCAGCTGAAGTCAATGATGCTTTGTGATGAGTGGCGATTGATTATAATCGTGAACATTTTTATGGCGATGATGGAGGTGGCGTGGAGGAACGGTGAGCTAGGGTTTGGAGAGAGGATAATGGTGGAGGTTGATCAAAGATAGCAGTGTTAGAGATAGAGTGGTAGAGATGAGGAAGAGGTGATAGTGGTAGACATGGGGGTAGTTGTGATATATGTGGAGTGCAGGGGTAGTGGAAGGGTGGGTGTGGTAGTGGCAGATGGGATAGAGGTGATAGTGGTAGACATGACGGTAGTTGTGATATATGTGGAGTGGAGGGGATAGTGGTAGTGGTAGGGTGGGTGTGGCAGTGGTAGAGATGGATAGAGGTGATAGTGGTAGACATGACGGTAGTGGTGATGTATGTGGAGTGGAGGGGATAGTGGTAGTGGTAGAGTGGGTGTGGCAGTGGTAGAGATGGGATAAAGGTGAACAGTGGTAGACATGACGGTAGTTATGATTGAGTAGAGGAGGTAGTGGTAGAAGTAGGGTTGACATGATAATTATATCGGTGGAGTGAGTGTGGTCATGGTAGAAATGGGATAGAGGTGATAGAGGTAGACATTGGGGAAGTTGTGATTTAGGTGGAGAGGAAGAGGTAGTGGCCATGCTAGTGGGGTATGTATGACATCGGCGGAGTGGGTGTGGCAGGGGTAGAGATTAGATAGAGATGATAGTGATAGACATCTGATAGTTGTGAAGTGGAGGTGGTAGCGGTAGAAGTGGGTTGGACATGATAATTATGTCGGAGGAGTAAGTATCATGAAAGTATGTCTTTAATTTGTGTGGTCGTGGCAGAAATGGGATAGAGGTGATAGAGCTGGACATAGGGGAAGTTGTGATATATGTGGAGTGGAGGGGTAGTGGTATTGTGGGTGTGACAGTGATAGAGATAAGATAGAGGTGATAGTGGTAGACATGAGGAAGTGATATATGGGGAGTGGGTGTGGTAGTGGTAGGGTGCGTGTGGCAGTGGTAGAGATAACATAGAGGTGATAGTGGTAGACATGAGGAAGTGATATATGGGGAGTGGGTGTTGTAGTGGTAGGGTTGGTGTGGCAGTGGTAGAGATGAGATAGAGGTGATAGTGGTAGACATGGGGCAAGTGATATATGGGGAGTGGGTGTGGCAGTGGTAGAGATGATGTAGTGGTAGACATGAGTGGGAAGTGATATATGTGGAGTGGGTGTGGTAGTAGTCGTGGACATGAGAAGGATATGCGTGTGGCAGTGGTAGTGGGATAACATAGAGGTGATAGTGGTAGACATGAGGAAGTGATATATGGGGAGTGGGTGTTGTAGTGGTAGGGTTGGTGTGGAAGTGGTAGAGATGAGATAGAGGTGATAGTGGTAGACATGGGGCAAGTGATATATGGGGAGTGGGTGTGGCAGTGGTAGAGATGATGTAGAGGTGGCAGTCGTAGACATGAGGGAAGTGATATATGGGGAGTGGGTGTGGTAGTGGTATTGTGGGTGTGACAGTGATAGAGAGGAGGTAGAGGTGGTAGTCGTAGACATGAGGGAAGTGATATATGGGGAGTTGGTGTTGTAGTGGTAGGGTGGGTGTGGAAGTGGTAGAGATGAGATAGAGGTGATAGTGGTAGACATGAGGGAAGTGATATATGTGGAGTGGGTGTGGTAGTGGTAGGGTGGGTGTGGCAGTGGTAGAGATGAGGTAGAGATGGTAATGGTTGACATGAGAGTATGCTGTAGTTGTAATATATATGGGGGTTGGTGTGGTACGGGTAGAGGCAGGGTGGCTATGGAATAGGTAGAGATAAGATAGAGGTGATAGTGGTAGACATGAGGCAAGTGATATATGGGGAGTGGGTGTGGTAGTGGTAGGGTGGGTGTGGCAGTGGTAGAGATGAGATAGAGGTGATAGTGGTAGACATGAGGGAAGTGATATATGGGGAGTGGGTGTTGTAGTGGTAGGGTGGGTGTGGCAGTGGTAGAGATGGGATAGAGGTGATAGTGGTAGACATGAGGAAGTGATATATGGGGAGTTGGTGTTGTAGTGGTAGGGTGGGTGTGGAAGTGGTAGAGATGAGATAGAGGTGATAGTGGTAGACATGAGGCAAGTGATATATGGGGAGTGGGTGTTGTAGTGGTAGGGTGGATGTGGAAGTGGTAGAGATGGGATAGAGGTGATAGAGGTAGACATGACGGTAGTTGTGATATATGGGGAGTGGATGGGGTCCTTGTAGAGATGGGGTGGGTATGGTAGTAGTAGAGATGGTATGGGTGTTGAAGTGGTGGAACTGGGATGGAGGTAGAGGTGATATTCTTTTGCTGGTGGTAGTTGTAGGTTTTCAAGTGTTGGAGCCAGCGGGGGTCTCAGCGGTAGTCGGGTAGGGAGTTGGATGGAGGCGTCGGTTAGGAAAGGAAAGGAGCGTCGTGTAGTACTGGTATTAGTCTCGTTACTGGTATATTTAAGGGTAGTGTTTCCAGCTGAAGGTGTAGTCATTGTACTGGTAAAAGCAGGGCTAATAGCAGGAGTTACTGTCACAACCTCATCACTAGTATTACATCACCATTCAACAGTACTGGGTCATGCAATCGACAACACACAAACAAGTAGCAGTGTTGAATTGTAGTCCATGTTTACACAGTTGGCAATCAGCACTTTACGTCCCTTGTCATTTGTATACAAATACACATGGGTATCCAGCTATATGACCTACATATCAAGCATGAGTAAACACTCGTAAATATAATGGATACACTTGTCACAGCTTGCGTTTTGCCTGTCTGTCCGTCCGTCCGTCCGTGTTTTCCTTTGTGTGTGTAAGTAAGTTCGTGTGTGTATGTATGTGTGGTTGGAAAGATGGGGCTGGATAGATTTGTGTGCGTGCGTGCGTGTGTGTGTGTGTGAGAGAGAGAGAGAGAGAGAGAGAGAGATGCGCGTGTGTATGTATGTGTGGTTGGAGAGATGGGGCTGGATAGATTTGTGTGCGTGCATGTGTGTGTGTGTGTGTGAGAGAGAGAGAGAGAGAGAGAATGCGCGTGTGTATGTATGTGTGGTTGGAGAGATGGGGTGGATGTGTGTGTGCATGCGTGTACACGTATACAATGGATGTATGTGTGAGAGAGAGAGTGTGTGTGTGTGTGTGTGTGCGTACGTGCGTGCGTGTGAGAGACAGAGAGTGTGTGTGTATGTGCGGTGGACGCACATGGGGAACGATGGATGGATGGATATGGGGGAGCGGGACATCCTCCCTCTCTCTCTCCACAGCTCTCTCTCTCTCTCTCTTTCTCTCTCTCTCTCTCTCTTTCTCTCTCTCTCTCTCTCTCTCTCTCTCTCTCTCTCTCTCTCTCTCTCTCTTTCTCTCTCTCTCTCTCTCTCTCTCTCTCTCTCTCTCTCTCTCTTTCTCTATAACCGTGCATGTAACCCATCACTCTCTCTCAAATCAAGTCGTTAGCATCTATACAGTCACATCACCATCTCATTCCCCCGTACCTACAGTAAAATGGGTTCACAAAATCAGCCTTACCTTTATCCAGGGTTTGTTGTCCGATAGTCACAAGGGTGAAGTTTCCACGTAATAGGCAACCTCATATTGTGATCGTGTGGCTCGCAACCACCCAAATAAAGGTCGATAAAGGAAGCGCGTGTAACTGTCTCACATTAAGCCACACACATGGGCCAGTCCCATACAATACAAACATAGTTGGAATATGACGAAATTCCCTCCTTCTTCCTGGTTGGCTACATTATGCCCAATCAGAAAGGGAAGAAGGGAATCCCCCTGTATAACCGCGATAAGGGAGATTTCGCTTCCTGATTCACGAACTCGGAAGAGCTCATAGTACAAATAATCTCTATCTATTTTCTTAATGTTCTTTGGTGCATGCGGTACCTGCCATTCATGTCACTTATAATTGTATGTAAATACATACGTTTGAATAAGAAGTGGAAATGCTGATATTTCTGCATTAATTGAAACATGATACAGTTTAGTTATGAATAGGTAGGATAGGAATTTGAATGATTCAGAAAACGTCATATTAGACAATTTGTGTGAAAAATATAAGTAAACAATTTTTTTCTGAATTTACACATGCAACATCATCCCTGAAATAAGGAATACATATCAACATTGTCATCAGATCAATATTAATTGCAATATAAAATACAGTGTGACATGATTTGTTCACGGTTCACAAAGCATCATTGATATTCATTAACGGAAACATGGATCACAGATCAATTTTTCCCGCACAGGTCACAGTGACCCAGTAAACCCAGTGCGCTGTAATCTGGTGAATGGCAAATATTCTCGGTCAGGGCTCGGTGACACGAAACGTTAGCCCGCTCCCACAGAACAACGCTGTACAGCTGATGCTGCAAGTGGATAGATTACACCGGGTGTAACCAGGTAGTGTCTCACTTCCTGGTGTGGCCCCATGACACGCCTTCGAGAATCCCCAACAGAATATATCATGCGTATAGATAATAGTTCTGCAAAACATTTACAAAAGAGGCTTTAAAATGGCACCTGATTTTAAAAAAAAGAGGTGCTATAGGTGTTAATCTATTCAAACACAATCTTTAATCAGGAACAAGAAGGCCACAGGCTTGAGTGATATATTAAATGAAGAGATTTGTCACACACATGTTAACTGATATCTAAGTGTTTCTATGTATGTATGTATGTATGTATGTATGTATGTATGTATGTATGTATGTATGTATGTATGTATGTATGTATGTATGTATGTATGTATGTATGTATGTATGTATGTATGTATGTGTATGTATGTATGTATGTATGTATGTATGTATGTATGTATGTATGTATGTATGTGTATGTATGTATGTATGTATGTATGTATGTATGTATGTATGTATGTATGTATGTGTGTGTGTGTGTGTGTATGTATGTATGTATGTATGTATGTTATGTATGTATGTATGTTACATGCGTGCGTGCGTGCGTGGGTGGGTGGGTGGGTGGGTGGATGGATGGATGGATGGATGGATGATGGGTGGGTGGGTGGATGGGATGGATGGAGGGAGGGATGGATGGGTGGATGGATGGGATGGATGGATGGATGGATGGATGGATGGATGGATGGATGGATGGATGGATGGATGGATGGATGGATGGATGGGTGGGTGGGTGGATGGATGGATGGATGGATGGATGGATAGATAGATGGATGTTTGTGTATGGGTGTCTCTCAGTAAATTTCATTACACATAATATGAGAGAGAGAAATAGATAGATGAATGATGTGGGGAAAGGGGGAGCTGATGCTTTTCTTTTGTAACTTATTCGTAGTGAACAAAATATTTACTACATATTATCGATACCAGAATGAAGTCGGCTCCTCACACAGGCGCGATACATGAGACAAACTCCCGATAATGTCGTGTCCTACTTGACAACACGATCATCAGCCAGGATGGCTTCCCAGAACCACGGTATTGAGAGTGTTTAAATTCCTCGTACACTTGCCGCATGGCTGTGAATCAGGATATATCTCCAATACTTCTACGTGACCAATAGTATCAGGCCAGATCATAATAATCACTGATTGTGACATCGTTCTCCGAGAATGTGCGGCCGGAGTGAGTGAGTTAGTTTTACGCCGCTTTTAGCAATGTCCCAGCAATATCACGGCGGGGGAACATACCAGAAATGGGCTTCACACATTGTACCCATGTTGGGAATCGAAACCGGGTCTTCAGCGTGACGAGCGAACACTATAACCACTAGGCTAAACTAACTGTCGGACAGGTTCCAGCTGCACTACATTTCGAACTGATTACAAACTCCAGTTTACTACCGATGAGAGGAAGTAGATTTCCTCTACACTACCCATGAACCATAGATATTCTATCAGTAGTATGCACTTTCGTGTGCTGGCCTACAGTATCGTCGTTCAGCAAGTAAATACCGTTGTTAACTGTATCAATCACTTAATGACAGCGATCACATTTACACATGAACACACCACGAACATGTTAAAGTGAAAAGGGAAGTAGCATTTGTCTGGCAGTCACGTATTTTTCACCACACCCTTCTCATGACATGTCATTATACTCAGATATAGGTATGCTATCTACGTCGTAGTGTTTGTCAGACACGACATCTCTTGAACTGCAAACAGATCCAGGCCTGTTTCCCAGAACTACAGTTTTGAGTGTGTCTAGATTCCTCGTACTCTTGCCGCACGGCTGTGATTCGCGATATATCTCCAGTACTTCTGTACTGACGAACTGTATCAGGCGAGATTAATTATTAATATTCTCACTGACTGTGACATCGTTCTCCGGGAATGTGCGACCGGAGTGATATGCATCAAAGTCTAAATAACAACAAGTTACGTGTTCTTGCGTAAGAAACCCCAAATCCCTCAACCTACAGGACAGGACTGATCCCCTGTGAGATCCCTGTCCACTCGCCGTCGGACAGGTTAGATCATCTGTACACTATCAGTCGGACAGGTTAGATCCTCTGTACACTATATATCCGCACAACAGGTTAGATCCCTGTACACTACCTTTCTGGCAGATGACTTCCCTGTACACTAGCTGTCGAACAGGTTAGATTCCGTGCAGACTACCCGTCGGTCAGGTTAGATCCCTGTCCATTATCCGTCGGACAGGTACGATTCCCTGTACACTATCTGCACAACAGGCTCGGTCACTGTAAACTACCTTTCTGGCAGATCATTTCTCTGTACACAATACTTCGGACAGGTGAGATCCCTGTCCACTATCCGTCGGACAGGTTAGCTCCCTGTCCACTATCAGTCAGACAGGTTAGCTCCCTGTACACTAACCCTAACACAAGTGAGATCACTGTCCATTATCGGTCAGACAGGTTGGCTCCCTGTCCACTATCCATCAGACAGGTTAGATCCCTGTCCACTATCCGTCAGACAAGTTAGATCCCTGTCCACTATCGGTCAGACAGATTAGATCCCTGTCCACTATCCGTCAGACAAGTGAGATCCCTGTCCACTATCGGTCAGACAGGTTAGACCGCTGTCCACTATCCGTCAGACAGGTGAGTTCCCTATCCACTATCCGTCAGACAGGTTAGATCGCTGTACACTATCAGTCGGACAGGTTAGATCCCTGTACATTAGCTGTCAGACAAGTGAGATCCCTGTACACTATCGATCCCTGTACACTATCGATCCCTGTACACTATCGGTCGGACAAGTGAGATCCCTGTACACTATCGGTCAGACAGGTTAGATCCCTGTACATTAGCTGTCAGACAAGTGGGATCCCTGTCTACCATCCGTAAGACAGGTTAGATCCCTGTACACTAGCTGCCAGACAGGTAAGATCCCTGTCCACTATCCGTCAGACAAGTTAGACCGCTGTCCACTATCCGTCAGACAGGTTAGCTCCCTATCCACTATCCATCAGACAGGTTAGACCGCTGTCCACTATCTGTCAGACAGGTTAGCTCCCTGTACACTAACACTAACACAAGTGAGATCACTGTCCACTATCCGTCAGACAGGTTGGCTCCCTGTCCACTATCCATCAGACAGATTAGATCCCTGTCCACTAACCGTCAGACAAGTGAGATCCCTGTCCACTATCGGTCAGACAGGTTAGACCGCTGTCCACTATCCGTCAGACAGGTGAGCTCCCTATCCACTATTCGTCAGACAGGTTAGATCGCTGTACACTATCAGTCGGACAGGTTAGATCCCTGTACATTAGCTGTCAGACAAGTGAGATCCCTGTACACTATCGATCCCTGTACACTATCGGTCGGACAAGTGAGATCCCTGTACACTATCGGTCAGACAGGTTAGATCCCTGTACATTAGCTGTCAGACAAGTGGGATCCCTGTCTACTATCCGTAAGACAGGTTAGATCCTTGTACACTAGCTGTCAGACAAGTAAGATCACTGTCCACTATCCGTCAGACAAGTAAGGCCGCTGTCCACTATCCGTCAGACAGGTTAGGTCCCTATCCACTATCCATCAGACAGGTTAGACCGCTGTCCACTATCGGTCAGACAGGTTAGCGCCCTGTCCACTATCCGTCAGACAGGTTAGATCCATGTACACTATCAGTCGGACAGGTTAGATCCCTGTACACTATCAGTCAGACAGGTTAGATCCCTGTACACTATCGATCCCTGTCCACTATCGGTCAGATAAGTGAGATCCCCGTACACTATCGGTCAGACAGGTTATATCCCTGTACACTAGCTGTCAGACAAGTGGGATCCCTGTCCACTATCCGTCAGACCGTCAGACAGGTCAGACAAGTGAGATCCTGTACACTGCTGTCAGACAAGTGAGACTGTACACTGTCAGACAAGTGAGATCCCTGTACACTAGCTGTCAGACAAGTGAGATCCCTGTACACCAGCAGACAAGTGAGATCCCTGTACACCAGCTGTCAGACAAGTGAGATCCCTGTACACCAGCTGTCAGACAAGTGAGATCCCTGTACACCAGCTGTCAGACAAGTGAGATCCCTGTACACCAGCTGTCAGACAAGTGAGATCCCTGTACACCAGCTGTCAGACAAGTGAGATCCCTGTACACTAGCTGTCAGACAAGTGAGATCCCTGTACACCAGCTGTCAGACAAGTGAGATCCCTGTACACTAGCTGTCAGACAGGTTAGATCCCTGTACACTAGCTGTCAGACAGTGACACCAGCTGTGAGATCCCTGTACACCAGCTGTCAGACAGGTTAGATCCCTGTACACCAGCTGTCAGACAAGTGAGATGCCTGTACACCAGCTGTCAGACAAGTTATATCCCTGTACACCAGCTGCCAGACAAGTGAGATCCCTGTACACCAGCTGTCAGACAAGTGATATCCCTGTACACTAGCTGTCAGACAAGTGAGATCCCTGTACACCAGCTGTCAGACAAGTGAGATCCCTGTACACCAGCTGTCAGACAGGTTAGATCCCTGTACACCAGCTGTCAGACATGTGAGATGCCTGTACACCAGCTGTCAGACAAGTGAGATCCCTGTACACCAGCTGTCAGACAAGTGAGATCCCTGTACACCAGCTGTCCTGTACAAGCTGTGAGATCCCTGTACACCAGCTGTCAGACAAGTGAGATCCCTGTACACTAGCTGTCAGACAAGTGAGACCGCTGTCCACTATCCGTCAGACAGGTTAGCTCCCTATCCACTATCCATCAGACAGGTTAGACCGCTGTCCACTATCGGTCAGACAGGTTAGCGCCCTGTCCACTATCCGTCAGACAGGTTAGATCCATGTACACTATCAGTCGGACAGGTTAGATCCCTGTACACTATCTGTCAGACAGGTTAGATCCTTGTACACTATCGATCCCTGTCCACTATCTGTCAGACAAGTGAGATCCCTGTACACTATCGGTCAGACAGGTTAGATCCCTGTACACTAGCTGTCAGACAAGTGGGATCCCTGTCCACTATCCGTCAGACAGGTTAGATCCTTGTACACTAGCTGTCATACAAGTGAGATCCCTGTACACTAGCTGTCAGACAAGTGAGATCTCTGTACACTAGCTGTCAGACAAGTGAGATCCCTGTACACCAGCTGTCAGACAAGTGAGATCCCTGTACACTAGCTGTCAGACAGGTTAGATCCCTGTACACCATGTGTCAGACAAGTGAGATCCCTGTACACCAGCTGTCAGACAGGTTAGATCCCTGTAAATTAGCTGTCAGACAAGTGAGATCCCTGTACACTAGCTGTCAGACAGGTTAGATCCCTGTACACTAGCTGTCAGACAAGTGAGATCCCTGTACACCAGCTGTCAGACAGGTTAGATCCCTCTACACCAGCTGTCAGACAGGTTAGATCCCTGTATACCAGCTGTCAGACAAGTGAGATCCCTGTACACCAGCTGTCAGACAGGTTAGATCCCTGTATACCAGCTGTCAGACAAGTGATATCCCTGTACACTAGCTGTCAGACAGGTTAGATCCCTGTACACCAGCTGTCAGACAGGTTAGATCCCTGTACACCAGCTGTCAGACAAGTGAGATCCCTGTACACCAGCTGTCAGACAAGTGAGATCCCTGTACACCAGCTGTCAGACAGGGGAGATCCCTGTACACTAGCTGTCAGACAAGTGAGATCCCTGTACACCAGCTGTCAGACAGGGGAGATCCCTGTACACTAGCTGTCAGACAGGTTAGATCCCTGTACACCAGCTGTCAGACAAGTGAGATCCCTGTACACTAGCTGTCAGACAAGTGAGATCCCTGTACACTATCAGTCGGACAGGTTAGATCCCTGTACACTATCGATCCCTGTACACTATCGGTCGGACAAGTGAGATCCCTGTACACTATCGGTCAGACAGGTTAGATCCCTGTACACTAGCTCTCAGACAAGTGGGATCCCTGTCCACAATCCGTCAGACAGGTTAGATCCTTGTACACTAGCTGTCAGACAAGTGAGATCCCTGTACACTAGCTGTCAGACAAGTGAGATCCCTGTACACTAGCTGTCAGACAAGTGAGATCCCTGTACACTAGCTGTCAGACAAGTGAGATCCCTGTACACCAGCTGTCAGACAAGTGAGATCCCTGTACACTAGCTGTCTGACAGGTTAGATCCCTGTACACTAGCTGTCAGACAAGTGAGATCCCTGTACACCACCTGTCAGACAGGTTAGATCCCTGTAACCACCAGCTGTCAGACAAGTGAGATGCCTGTACACCAGCTGTCAGACAAGTTATATCCCTGTACACCAGCTGCCAGACAAGTGAGATCCCTGTACACCAGCTGTCAGACAAGTGATATCCCTGTACACTAGCTGTCAGACAAGTGAGATCCCTGTACACCAGCTGTCAGACAGGTTAGATCCCTGTACACCAGCTGTCAGACAAGTGAGATCCCTGTACACTAGCTCTGAGACAGGTTAGATCCCTGTACACTAGCTGTCAGACAAGTGAGACCGCTCTCCACTATCCGTCAGACAGGTTAGCTCCCTATCCACTATCCATCAGACAGGTTAGACCGCTGTCCACTATCGGTCAGACAAGTTAGCGCCCTGTCCACTATCCGTCAGACAGGTGAGATCACTGTACACTATCAGTCGAACAGGTTAGATCCCTGTACACTATCAGTCAGACAAGTGAGATCCCTGTACACCAGCTGTCAGACAGGTTAGATCCCTGTACACCAGCTGCCAGACAAGTGAGATCCCTGTACACTAGCTGTCAGACAAGTGAGATCCCTGTACACTAGCTGCCAGACAAGTGAGATCCCTGTACACTAGCTGTCAGACAAGTGAGATCCCTGTACACCAGGTGACATAGTTTGGTTTTACGCCGCTTTTAGAAATATTCCAGCAACATCACGGCGGGGGACACAACAAACGGGCTTCTCACATTGTACCCATGTGGGGATTCGAACCCGGATCTTCGGCGTGACGAGCCAACGCTTCAACCACTAGGCTACCCCACCGCCCCTCACCAGGTGTCAGATAAGTGAGATCCCAGTACACTAACCGTCAGACAAGTTAGATCCCTGTACACCAGCTGTCAGACAAGTTAGATCCCTGTACACTATCGGTCGGACAAGTGAGATTTCTGTACACTATCGGCCGGACAAGTGAGATTTCTGTACACTATCGGTCAGACAGGTTAGATCACTGTACACTATCCGTCAGACAGGTTAGATCCCTGTACATTAGCTGTCAGACAAGTGTGATCCCTGTACACTATCGGTCGGACAAGAGAGATCCCTGTACACTATCGGTCAGACAGGTTAGATCCCTGTCCACTATCCGTCAGACAGGTTAGATCCCTGTACATTAGCTGTCAGACAAGTGTGATCCCAGTACACTAGCCGTCGGACAAGTGAGATCACTTTACACATGCTGTTAGACAGATTTGATTCTCTGTACTGTATCCTAACTGTCGGACAGGTTAGATTCCATCTACATTACATTTCGTACTGGTTACATATCAAGTTTACTACCGACAAAACAAAGTAGACTCCCAGGAACAAACACCACGAGTAGGTTAAAGTGAAAAGGGAAGTTGCATTTGTCTGGCAGTCATATGTCTTTCCTCACACCCTTCTCAATGCATGTAATTATACTCTGATATAGTTATGATATCTACGCCGTTAGGTTATCAGACACGACATCTCTTCAGCTACAAACATATCTAGACCGACATTACATCACTGCCATAACAACCGGGTCCTTGTCGGCGAGTTTTTTTCCGCGAGTTAAACAAGCGAGTTAAACAAGCCTTGGATAAAAAAGGTCCTGGCTGCTTGACGGTGGTCAATTATCCGTGGTTTGTTTTCCTCGTAAGTGGTGTACTAGATAGATAATGTCTTTACAGAAACAAATGTTATATTTGGGATGACATATTCTTTCTAAAGTTCAAAGTATAGGGATATCGGTAGCGTGATTTCGCGGGGCCCGGATATGAATCTCATCAGGGGTTCGAACCCACTGTAATACATCTAATCGCTCGCACACAAAGTCGGCGAAAGAATTACTAGAATTTGTATTCCAGTATGCCATATAACATACGTTACAGGTGATTTAACGATCTTGCAAATGCCACGGAAACCGAGTCCCGAAATGGAAAGCTCGTTCCCAATCCGAATAACCTTTTTAAAGACATCCCCCGGCTTAAGGTTAAAGCTTTCGCTCGTCACGCCGAAGACCCGGGTTCGATTCCCCACATGGGTGCAGTGAATGAAGCCTATTTCTGTTATCCCCCATCGTGATATTGCTGGATTATTGCTAACAGCAGTTTAAAACCATAATCACTAACTCACTGTAAGTGATGTGTAACAGAAACATTTAACAGTAGTCTCTTGCTACAATCTAGACCAGGAGCAAGATTAGCTCACATATGTGAAGCCTCATTTGTAATCATAAGGAGCCACCTCCCTTTCAGCATGACCCGGACTACATTTGTGCACCCGAGGACTCCAGATATACAGGATCTGCAATGTTTTCCAGTAGAAGGATATCACATTGTAATTCCGAGAAAGGCCGTACTGAAGTGCGCGTATGACACATCATTTCTCAGAAATGTGCTCACAGATGTTTGCTGGTGGTAGTTTTCAGTTGTGTACTCACAGCTCAGTCCAAGCGGGCACGAAAGACGTGTGTTTAAAAATAATGCCACGTGTTTAGACTGATACTACGTATAGGCGTGACATGTTTGACTACACTGATCTGAGCTGTTCCCTGGGATTGTATCCTATTTCATGTGTGGCTGCTGGGTAATCCACCTTCTGTGAAGGAATGGGTAGTAAGGAACCTACTTTTAGAGATTTTCTTAGAGGATGGGTACTACGGCTCTTCCATGTCTCCTAGGATGGGTACTGGGGATCTATTTGCCACAAGGACTTTCAATGCTTTTGTGAAACGTTTGTGTATGTTTGGTCAAACATGCTCAGACTTGCGCGTATAGCAACAAATTACGTGATGATAAACAAAAACAGTACTAAGACGCCATCATATGAATAGCACTTTAATAACATATATGTAAAAATAATCTGGTTCAACATTCTCTCACAGAGCTTAAAAAAATGTACATGTACTAAAATACATTACTTTTTACGTAATAGTAATATATATTACTTAGTAATACCAGCCTCCAATACACCGTGGATAACTTCGTTGACGTTTTGACGTCCAGGGTAGAAGTAGGTCACGAGGTCACTAATGACCAATAGCACACTATGCCCGCGTTTCGGCGGGTAATCACATATTTGCAGCACTATGTTGATCCCTTGTTTTGAAGGGGTACGCATATCCAGGTTCGGGTCGTCCTTGCTCTCGCACAACGTATGTATTACCTGGACTAACAAAGGCACCCATGTCGTGGAATGCATTAATTATCAATTGAACACCTTTGGTTGGCTTGTGAGCTGAAAAAGTAAAGAGAGATGATATATAAATATTTCATTTTGGACATTCGAAATATTGCGAGTTGGATGGGACAGTGCACGTTAGTTTGCTATAATCATGAATTTTACACATTTAAAAAACATACAGATATTTGGATTTAAATGTCATCACAGTCTCTGGGCGTTTACCTATTTGGATGAACCATATGGGTACTTTATTATTAGATGTACAAGTTCGGATCTTCACATTTCCATTCACATCTGTTTTAGCCCGTGTAAAGGCATAGATGGGGGATGCTTACCTTGCAGATGAGTTTCTGGGACACCCTCTTGTGTTGATAGTTCCAAGCTGAATCAAGAATGTGTTTGCCTTCACCATGATCCTGTGATCTTTGGATGAACTTTGTGCAGGCGGTCTGAAGGTCGGGGAATCCATATTCGACAGAAGCGCAGAGTAGACCTGAGGAAAGCAATGCGTTTGTACAGAATGTCTTGGAAGAAGTAGTCCCGGATTTAAAAATTGTTGACACTCAATGGCAATTCATATTGTCGGTTCATATTATTACATGACTTACCGATTACGTTGTTGATGTCAATCTTGACCTTTCCTGAGTGTACGAATGTGATGAACTTCCTGAAATCCTCCACAGAGTAGTCCTGCACGTCGATCATTAGCTTCTGGGGCAGGGGGGAACGATTTCCTTTCTTTGACTTCTTGTTGGATGATTCGGCCTCCGCCTTCCTTTGGTGGTGAAGAATCAGTTGATACAAGCACCTGCAAAACACAAAACTACCTGCTGTAGTTTGCAGCGCAAACACAGTTAATACATAAATCGACGCTTCCTTTCCTGTTATCCATGTTTTGGGAACGTGTGGGATTATGGGTATACTTATTATTTCATGGACCATCTTTCTCGCAAAAATCACCACTTTTACATTCTATTGTTTCATCCGACAAGGCGTATTGGAAACCTGCTATTGAAATGTTTACTTTACAAGTCGCACCTTGTGAGGTTTTGTTCGTGTGAAAAGGAGACAATTTAGATATTAGCTGATGGATACATTTTGTGGCCTATTATGGTTGTTTAATTGAGACTTGAACCAGACACCAGGCTTACCTACTGTCTTACTGTAATCGGTCCTTACCTGCTTCTTGTAGCCAGAATAGCCTTGACGCCATAGATAGGCACATGCCTCCTCCCGACCAGGAATGTGACGTCACACATCTCAGGCATATCAAGAATGAGGGCAAGGCTGTCATGCAGACCCCCCGGTACTTTTCAATACCATGACCTCCCCTTGGGTAGCAGGTAAGGATGCGTTGCGAGGCGGCTTCACCGCGAAGCGAGAGGGGTTGTCATCCTCAGAACACTCGCTGGAATCATACCCAGAAGAGGAACTTTCAGCTGAAAATAGAATGATTAGATAAGGTCATATCTACTACTATCTGTAATAATGTACTGGCCTTTCTAATATACGTCCCGGAGTTAAAACTAAATAATTAAATAGAAAAGTGTGTTTGGGAAAGGGAAATCGCTTTCTTGCGGGGGAAGGGGGTGGGGGGAGAGAAAGAGAAATGGATGTGCCACATCCCGGATTCGAACCCATACACTAATCACTACTTCATAATTCAAGGGTTATTTAATATGCGATTGCACAATAGACAATACAAAATGGGGACAATACATACAATTTCCAGAATATTTCAGTAGTCATTTTATCTATAAGTCATTTTCGGCTCTCCCCCACCATATCACTTCTGACCTACCTTCTAGTTCTAACTGATGCACTTCCTCAAGGATGTCACAGTCTAACAGTTGAACACGAGAATCGCATCGGTTCATGTTGCTGGTTGTTGTATATAATTCTGTATAAGTATAATATCCTGGTCTTGTTGGTAATCCAAAGAGTATGAATGCAGGTCAGAGAACGAATGACCACCAGTTGTAACTTGCCCGTTATATACCCCTGGGTGTCAACACTATGATGGAGATGTCAGTGCCACAATACCGTTGTCCAGAGAACACCTATGTTGACACATAGGCTTCACCTTTCTCATGTCAGTTGCTCTTGTGATTACAGTAATGACCACCCCGTGAACACTGACCCTCTGTCCAGCACTTGTCAGTTACGAAAACACTGACATAATTAACTAATCAATAGGTGTAAATGAGAGGGAGTTTAGTTTTGATTAAGATTAGTCAACCCAGCTTCGTGTGAACTGCGTCACTTTGAAGAAGGATTTAGTGTAAAGATGCTTGATTAAACTGTTTGTATCAGATTAAGGAAGCTGTGATTGATTTGGCAAGACAAAAGGCCAACGCAGAACCAGGCAGTTACACCATGTACAATATACTATTGTTCCGCCTGAGGCAAACTATGGGGTAAATACAGGCTAACTGCGCTTAGGAACAATATTTACTTTACGATTGTTGGTGACAGCTTTGCATTTGTAAACTGGGTTTATAGCAAAAGGAAAAAAGGGCTGCATTCAGCATGCTAATTAAAAGAGGCCACTTGAATCGAAATGTTACACGGGACAAACACATGCATGAATCGAAAGCTGTTCAATGTTTTATTTATGTGCTATTGTTGGAACATTAGTACGTACTTATACAATGTGCTGTGTATAGAATGGGTACATTGTATATGTTAATGCAGTTGAATACCTTTGGTATAAAGGGTAAAGTCACAAAGCCTAACAACTAAACATATTCATAAATTCTAATCTCAGATAATTATCACGAAACGGGGAGTTAATATGCATTGGTTTTACTTTTAAGATCTAATAGCTTATTCTCGACCTTATAAAATAATGAAACGCAGAATCTGTATCAACAAGTAGTACACATTCAGAAAACAATAATATAAACATAGCGTACGTAGATATACTTAAAATACAAGCTGCATAATATGTACATAAATTGGATGGAAGAAATTTATAATTTACACTTTTCTATTGAAATAAGGAGATATTAAACATTCATTCTTGTATTTTAGTGATAATTGTCAACCATATTATCGAGATGCAAACAATGATAGCCTGAGTGTAATGATTCTCTCAAACATATATTTATCATTCAATTAGATATTTTCTCTCTTTCTTATTTGTAAAACAGATTTATTTTTTTCTAATTAATGCGGAAGTGTGGCCTAGATATTACCCATGACCATGTATTGTAAGTTTGAGTGCTCGCATATGTTTTTACATGTGTGAAAAGTTGCTTGTACACCTCCATGGTTCGGCTTTGAAGATTATATACGCGCGACACTGAAATAAAAGCAAATTCACTTTAATTTCCTTTCATCTATATAACTAGCAATGTGGTTAATCCAATGGACATAACACACAACAAACACATGTTGGATAATCAGACTGAAGCGTAGTTAAGTCATCTGAATCATGAAGCCTGTCGTTACACCGGGAACACAGTGCAAACCTTATGGTGTGAAGTTATTTGAAAACATCGGACAGCGTATGGAGAGGTCTCGGGTTACATTAGGGGAAGTACACAAACCAAATAAATACACAAGACCAGGCAATTAGGCAGATGCGCACTGTTTTCATTTGAAACAGCTACTACGAAACGTTTGAGTACAGATGGCTTGTTTTAGACATTTGTGTAATAGCAGCATTGTAGCAGTAAACTTTGACTTGAATAGCGTAACTAAATACAAACATATACATGGGCCACTCCACATGGACTTGTATCGAAATAGATTCACCTATGTACACTTTTAAATGACATCCAAAGCTGACAAGCACCTTTTTTTCTATTCAATGAATAGCAGGTTTGGGTGAAAACACGTAAATTAAATATTGCTTGACAAAATATAATCTGTTTTCTGAACTCATCAAACATGTTGGGAACAGTTTAATTTAACTCAGTGGCACGACATTATAGTTATATATTGCTAAATGATATATCAGAAGTGTACAATCTACAATAACATGTACATCTAGAATTTTGTAAACAGCGGAGGGTCAGTTTTGTGATTCCCCATCTCGTCACATACAATATGGTACTTTGTGTTACCGTGCCTGGTGCTCCAATTTATTGGGATCAAATAAAGACTGGTGGACTCTGAGTCAGTATATTGTCTAAGCTGGGTGTCCATGTTACACTGCAGCATAACTGAGTGAGCTAGCACTGTAAGCTTGGCATTTGTCTGGTCTTGTATAAGCAGCCACATAAGTGCATGTTCGAGCCGTGACACATGTTATAATGTTGACAACACCCAACGTGTTTCACCATTGCGAAAAACACCCGCATCATTCCAGGATTTCTCCCCATCTTTGTTATAAACTCTAATCCCAGAAATAACGCTGCTAGACCAGCATCACACACCCTCGACGGCTACTGGTCTGACTGACTGACTGACTGAGTTTGGTTTTTATGCCGCTTTTAGCAATATTCCAGCAACATCACGGCGGGGGACACCAGAAATAGGGTTCACACATTGTGCCCATGTGGGGATTCGAACCCGGGTCTTCGGCGTGACGAGCCAACGCTTTAACCATTAGGCTACTCCACCGCCCCGCTACTGGTCTGAAACGTTATAGAAGAAGAAAATATTTTTATTTATGTGTCACATGTTATATATAAAACAAAAATAAAATTCAATAAAATATAACATCCGGCCATATGGACTATGAGACACAAGGCATTATATTATATCTAAAAACAGATAGTAGTAAATAAAATATCACAGCTTTGTAAGCAACAATGGAGTGTGGTATATTTATTTAATTACATGACTACAAACTGCGTTTGCGTATGGTTACGGAGAAGAAAGAGTGTTATTATTTGTGTGTAACATGTTATACCTTAGACACTTAATATAAAATATAACTTCTGGCCTATGAGACACAAGCCACTACATTCTACCAATAACAGATAGTAGTGAATAGAATATCACAATTCTATAAGTAACAGTGGAGTGTGGTATATTTAATTACATGACTACAAAGTGCGTTTACGTCTGTTAAACATTTAGTAACTAATGCAGCTAAGGTTTTATTAATTTAACATTACCTAGCATAAATGCAGCCTGGTCAGAAGGTGACAAGAGAGTGAAAAAAGGGTTAATATTTAATACAATTTTCCACAAGTCATATCGTAAATCCGAATATAGTGGACAGCTGACCAAAAAGTGAACTTCGTCCTCAATCGTATTGCCATCACATCATTTACAAATTCTATCGTCTAAAGGTGTTTTAGGGCGTGTAAATCTACCGATCTCTAGTTATATAATGATAGATCTTTCATAACCCTTCTCCATTCAACTAATATGTTACGTCACCATCTCTATATAATGGCATTCTCACTAGTGCAATATATTTGTACAGTTGCTGCTCATAACATTGCATATGAACATACAATGGAAAAGTTATTATCAACACAATAGTGTGTACTATTCCTAAAGGAAATACGAAATTATGTATTAGTTATCAAGCGCCTCGTATCAAACTGTAGATCAATATATACTGCATCACATAACGGATAAAACCTTTTACAAAACAGTTCCACCAAACTTCATTTGGTTATGGACATTTCAGTTTGTTGCTGTAAACAAGCTGGCCTATTTGTATTCGCGAAAAACTGGTTTCAACTGATTTATAGTTATCAGGAGGACCATCATACTATGTACATGTTTATCACTTTCAAACTTTCCACGAAAAATAACACATGAGAAATCATTATTTCGTGCATGTGTCCCATTCATTCGAAAAGCCTTTTAGCCTCGTGGGACCTCAAGCGTACGTGTTTATTTAACATTAAAATATAAACAGAACTTCAACTTCTTAAACTATTAACAGGAGCAACAACATGGTATTAAAACAGAACGCTAATGTGTTACTTCCACAACTATGTGTCAAAAGATAATGACACGTTATGTACGTCGTTGCCACAATATTAAATCACTTTATTCATTGGCACTTTAAGATGAATCTTTGTTGTGTAGTACAGCCAATAGATACGATAATATTTCTCCAAGTGAGAATATAATGCTTCACAACAAATAACGTAACATGATATATGCTCTCGTCATTAAAGGAAATGTCCATACAATGGGAAATCTAGATAATTCATATACAGTTGCGTCATACTTTCAATGCGACCGCCTCCGTGGTGCAGCGGTTAGAGCGTCCGCCCGGGGAGCGGAAGATCGCGGGTTCGATCCCCGACCGCGTCAATCAAAAGACGTTAAAATATGGTACTTGTTGGTCACTGCCTGGCGCTCGGCATTAATGGGTACAACAAGGACTGGTCGGCTCGGAGTGTCTGAGTGGGATATTCATGCTTCACTGCGGCATTGTATCTCAGTGGGCTAGCACTATATAACCAGCTAGTACAAGCAGCCACTGATACACACGCATGCACGTCGTCATATGAGCGAAATATTCCCAAGCACGACGTAAAACCCAATTTCACCTCACCTCACCTTATACTTTCAATATATACTCCATGTTAAAGTAGAACCGTTGTACGAGATAACTGATTTATTTGGCATGTATAAAGCGCAATGATGAAGAGGAACAAATTTTATGCATTGACAACTTCTTTATTGCAGGAGATGCGACGTTTCGGTGTAGATGCTAACACCGTTATCGTCAGCAATTGGTAATTGCGATATCATTTTAAATATACAGTTATTATCTATTTACACAGTGTTTCGTACATTGTAACAACGCTGTTGTTATAACAATCATCCATTACAAGACCTTCAGCTACTTCAGAATATGTTGAAAAGAGCAATATGTAACAGGTCTTTCGGCTTTGTTCATAAATCTATCAATCTCACGAATAATCTGATAATCACATCTATAATTAACCACTTAACTGTTAATCCCCTTTCAGGGCATAGATCCGTAAACCTAACAAATCACTGAGCCTTAATCCTTAATTACGCCTGTGTTGTGACACGTAACAACCTTCAGCTATGAAGTGTTGCGATAAGCAGATCACGTGGTGGCAATTCGTTCGGCGTGGAAGCACGTGGCATGAGCACAGCGCGTGAAGTTGAAGCCTTCGTGTCAACATTGATTTATGAATGACACTGACATTGGTTGTTGTTATTAGTACAGCTATATAATGCATCTGATAGTAGAAACGGTCATTCCACTCCCGGATCTGAACATAACACAGCTTAGTCTTACGCTTAGTCTCAATAATTCCAAACACAAAGTATGAACCGTTACGATTCTCGTGTGTGTCTCTTGGACGCTGACGTCCTTGAATTCGAAACATGTCAGGTCAATGAAGGCGAAGTTGATGGTGAGTTTACCGTTATGTGTGTTTCGAAAATTGTCAAAAACATGGATGTGAATCTCTTAACAACATCTGTATGAGTAAAGCATTTCTAACGTAACTCGACAATGGACTGTTATGTTTTGATGAAGATTGTTCTTGGATTTCATTAAGTAGAATATAGCTTTCACATAAGTTATCTATATTTCTGAAACTAAATGTTAGTGTAAATATTAATAGTTTAGTAGCGATATTTTTACGGATCACTTGTCAAGAGAGAATTAATTTTGTAAGATCCAAAACTCACCCTGCAAACAGGTTATTCTTTAGGTAACCGATGACGGGGAAGATTTATGGATGCCGGGTTCTTTATTTTAACGAACACTAACTCCTTCGATTTCATCAGGTGATGATCACTAGAAGGTGATCTATTTTTTCTTACAAATCAAGACCTGTCTCGTTAGATAATCAAGAATATTATTGACGGGGTCCAGCAATACAGTTTGTATACAACATTCACTCTGGAGATCACACGCTATGAAATCAGTTGAAGTAATCTGGACATTATATTAAAAATGTACTGAGGACTGAAAATAGACATATTTTTCGTAACATGTTTATGATTAATATCCATTGTGGTTTCAGCTGAGAGCTCTTCATCTGGGTACGACTCTAGTGACATGAGCTCGGATGAAGACGTGAGCCCCACCAACTTACCTGACGTCGTTTCCGGCTTCACTACCCTTCGTCCAGCTTCGAGTCGCCATAATACCAACCCCCACAACGACTGTAGGAGTGTAATGGTGTTCAAGAGTACAGGGGAACTCCAGGACAGCCTTGCCCTCATCCTGGAAATGCCTGACATGTGTGACGTCACTTTTCTTGTGGGCAAAACTAAGGTTCCTGTTTATGGAGTCAAGGCCATATTGGCAACGCGAAGCAGGTACGCTGGATTCTTTCTTACATGCACGAATGCAGTCAAATAGTGCACATTCATATTAATACTTAACCCATGAAGGTCCGTGTTAGATTATTGATCTTCAGTAACCCCTGCTTGTCGTAAGAGGCGACTAACGGGATCGTGTGGTCAGGCTCGCTGGCTTGGTTGGCACATGCCATCATATCCCAATTGCGTAGATCAATGCTCACGTTGTTGATCACTGGATTGTCTGGTCCAAACTCGATTAGTTACAGACCGCCATATACTAGTAGTTGGAATACTGCTGAGTGCGACGTAAAACTAAACTCACTCACTCATATTAATACTGAATGTGAATTATATGCGTGTATTGCCTTATCTGTTTAACGTTTACGTTTTGGTTGGACATGTTCTTACGTTACTGTCTTCAAAAAATGTATGTCACCGAACAATTCCATAGCCAAAAGAAAATAATTCCTAGGATGAAGTTATTTCTATCAATTTATAAAATATTTTATCTTATTTCAGATATCTCTACCAGCTAGTGTTAAAGCACCAAAAGCAATCGATGCAAGACATTCCAAAGACGAAAAAAATTAAGAAAGTCAGGGAATCCCCCTTGTCACAGAGACTCCTCATCAACGTCCCAGGCTACCTAGCCGGGGACTTCAAGGCATTCATCAAGTTCGTCCACTCGGGGAAGGCTAGAATTGATCTTAGCAACGTGATAGGTGAGTGCCCTGGTGTTCTACTCATCACTTTAAGCGTAATAAAATAACTGGTTATTCTATTCACAATACCTTGACAATTGTTCACGTCTAACTCTATTTTTGAATTTGTTTACAGGACTTCTTTGTTCTGCTGTCGAGTTCGGATTCACCGACCTTCAGGCCGCCTGCGTGGAGTTCATACAGAGATGCCGAGGTCAAGGTCAGGGATCAGTACTTCTAGACTGTGCCTGGAACTATCAACACAAACCAACAGCGCAGAAACTTATTTGCCAGGTATGTTCCCTTACATTTGTTTTCAGATGCTCAGTTGCATAATTCATCGCCGAAAGATGTTAACGTGAAAACAAAAACAAATATATATAGTAACGATATGATAGTGAGGTTTGATGTATTGAATTTCAAAAAGCGATAAATCTTTTCTCAATGAAGGCAACTTACTAGTATATTCAAACGTTTTCATTTTACTTTTTCGCAGCTTTCTACGGAGACCAGATGAACGAACACCTCAAAGTAAAGAGGATCAAAGCCAGCTACTACAATCCAAATGTGATTCGGAAGAAGACAACAAGCAGAAGATGAGAGAATCAAAACGAGGAGAAGTAGGACGATACAAACCAAGACTGAGCCGATCAGTACTGGAGAATGTCAGTTCACCATACAACGAGTGCCAGAACGCACATAGACGATGTTCGTCGTGAAAGCTTGAAGAAGCAAATGTCAACGCCATCATCTGGCGGACAGAACGGAGGAGGCCACGAAGCAAGCATCAACATGAGAACTGGTATGAATCTTAAGAAATACCAGTGCAAGGCTCATCAACCGATGAAAACGAACCGATGCCCACATTGTATGGTTGAAATAAAGAATATTCATTCTCACCCCCGCGTCTTCTTGTTACAAACATGCACGCACAATGCAGTATGTAGCCAAGCAATATATGCAAAGTGATTACCCAAATCAACGGAATTGAGAGGCATATTTTTAACATATTTCATTGTCCATAAGTATTTAATGCAAGTTTAAGAAATAAGGAATATTCATTCTTACCTCGAATCTTGCTGTTACAAACACACACACACACACACACACACACAAAGACACACATGTACGTACCTGAATGTCTAAAACATTTAAACATCTATATGTGTTAAAAAACATTTAGGTACGTACATACTAGTACCAATATTTGTTCACAGTGACGCATAGGTCATGCATACTAGGTTTAGCACGGACATTCAAACTAAATGCACTTACACACGCCTATGAGCATTCATATACGTACGCCTACAGATATATTAAGTTGTTCTATCTCTTTTACAAAGCATAATATCAAATGATAAAAAGCATTACTAAAAAGTCCTTAATTGTTTTATCCTTTGTGGTGGAATACGCAGTATCATCAAGCAATAAATGCAAAGGAACTACCAAAATTAACGGAACAAAGAGGTATGTTTTAAAGACGATGGGGTTGAACTCAAGTGCCGTAATTGCCATCAACTGCATATTTTAGGCATCAGAACAAAGATGTTATATTGTATCTTTTAATATACTTCCTTTAAAAAGTTTAGACTCACTTAAAACACTCACTGTATGTTATGGGTTTATACATTTTGTATATGGTTATATCGAAGATTGATTTATCCACTAACTTGGGGGAACCAACTGCAAACCTTATGCAGATGAATTGCATGAGGATCGTGCATCAAATTGCTGAAAAGCATGTGCAAATATCGTGCATGTGAACAGATGCGTTTTGGTGTAAAGTTTTGTTAAGAATTACCCACTTTTCACTGATTTTTATCATTTATTGAACTCATGACAATAATCTTTTCACCGTTACGAGTACACATCAGTTCGTGTGTAAAACAACACCTAAACAGTAGGGAATATTTGGCAAAATTTTGTTTCGAACAGTTGCCTGAAGTAAGTGGCTATATTTACACTAGTGAGTCTAACCTTTTGAAAGGAAGTATATAAACGAGAACGTCGTCGGTACTGTATTACCGTTGTGCTTTATTTAACTCATCCATCAAGATACAAATATGCCATTTAAGTCCCTTTGCAATGTGTGTGTATGAATGAAAGGTCAACGAACACTGCACATTAACAGGTTTCTAAAACAGTTATATTATGTGTGTGTTTGAATAGCAAGTGAAGCCGGCACAGGCTGCTATTCGTGTTTGCACTGTTAAAGCATTAAAGCCTTGTATGCATAAAACCAGTACATTGTATATTCTATTTAGATTGGTGTATGCTTCATTTATAGCTTTCAGTGCAAACAATTGTATTGGGCATCAAATTTTAAAATATTTAAACATTCGTTACATTCCTTATTTTGAACTTGCATTCGCTTTACTGTGAGAAAGATGTTTTATCTGGCGTTTAAATGAACAGATTCCCAAAACGTTGCATTACTGGGTCCGTTACGTTACTATTACACTAAACACACTGTATCTATCATATCCAGATATTTGTGTCATATATTCAGTGTAGAATGGACGAAGGGCAACAATGGCTTGAGAGCCTTACAAACACTGAGAAAAATATAATAACATCTGATTACACATATGGCTTACATTCTAGTCTATGTTTAATACACTTTAATAACCGATTGCTTGTAATGATATATCGGACTGGAAAATCAAAATAAGTGAATTAGGCCAACCCATTGTATTTGAGCTTAGGGCACATCGATAACTTGATCTCGTTTTAACTTCGATTGATTTAACAAACCTGAAGTAGAAATGTAGAGAAATATAACAAAACCGTTTTATCTGCGTCACCTTTGGATACGTGGATAAAACTTCAGACGAAAACAAAATTAATGTATATACAAGATTTCCATAGCCAACATAATACTGAGTAATTTCCTATATCTAAACAATCATGGGTGTGAGCTTCAGCCACTAGATATGGGTCTGTAACCATGTAGGTAATCGATTCCGGACCTACGATATGACAGGTGAACACTTTACCAGCCAGCCTACTCTATCGCCCCTTATTATGTAGAGGATCTACATAATTCACCAAATCGACATTCCAGACATATCAATTCCCATATTTGTTATCGGTTTTATTAATAGACATCCTACTGCAACCATTCAGCATCATTGTTGCAAATCATGATAAATAGTATCGGGTCCAAACTTATATTGTAATGGTTAAGAGCATGTTGGTTGGTCCTCATATTGTGATATATTACGTACATATCATCAGCGGTGCAGTAACGTGCCAATGTATCTGAACCTCAAGCACTATCAGTTAAATGCCTGTAACAACTGATACCAGTGAGACCAGTAATCTAATTGATGATCCAATTAACACGACACGATACATGTGTTTTCTTAATTGCTATCCCACTTGTTATTTCAACATAATGGGTGAACGGTAACACCTCGAAGAATGGGCGTCATTGCTCGAGAATCGTTACGAGCGCATAAGTCTGTGGTGTTGATATGCGTTGTTTTTGTATTCATCAAGTGTAAATGCATTTGTGACAAGGGATACATGTCCTACCTATTTGATTGTACATACAATTAGTAGTTTCCCTACAGTTTTGTGTCTTAAAACTATTGGATTTGATTCACGGAACGACTCCATTTTGTCTACCTCCTTGATGGTAAAACGTTCAATCCAGCTGTCAAGTGTAACAAGGTGAAGTTTTCAGTGCGCCAAGATGCTTAAGTAACAGCCCAGGCGTTATGATGAATAAAATACGTGAAGTGATACACACATGAAGTTCTCTACGCACCTTTCAATTCACTACAGTGTGTACTCAAATACTCTGCTTACAATTGCAAGGCGATGTAGGGAATGGATCTTGTCAAAAACAATACAACATCTGGCACTTTTTACGTTGTTATCCTTATGAAAACAATTGCAAATTTGTTTTGGTGCAGGCACTGCTCTACAGAAGAAATACTGTAACATGAAGCCGACATAAAACGGTTATAAATAGGTTTACGTTTGTTGTACCGTGTGCCTGGAACGTTCATTTTGAGAAACAAGGAAGCTAAATAAATCAGAAACGTTTCTCCTCCACTGCATAACAACATCTGCTGTTGACTGTCCAACGGACAGACAGACAGATAGTTTATTAAAGTCTCATCTGACAATCGCATAATGACAATACACAACACAAGTACAATAAAACAGTGAGCCACCCTTTCTGGGTTACGAGAGACTATTAGCTAAGAACATATACTCACAATATGAAAACTATATACACATAGAAGTTATTATTAAATTACGAACAACCAAAAATACATCAGTAAGATATCATAAAGTATACGTATACATACACAATATAAAACCATTACCTATTACCATATAAAATTTGTTTCCGTTTCTGAAGTTAAAGCTTGCAGGTTTGGCAGAATAAAAAACAATATTCGGAATGGCTAAGATGAAACTAACTTTCTGTATATCTGTAAAATACGGACCCAAGTTATGCCCGCCTCTATCGATGCACTGAGGACGTTGTAAAATATAACAATGGATTTCTTCATGTGCAGTGTTGATGTTCTTGTTCGGTACATGTGTTAAACATTTCAAACATCTTTATCAATGTCTTAAGTTTGTTTAAGTTGTTCTCAATTCAGAAGTTTAAATGGGAAGGAAAGAGTAGCAAAATATCAACCTCTGCTTGCTTTCATCACGTTTCTTGCCTGCTCGCATTCGCTTAAATCAAAAGTGCAAATAAAACGGAAATATTATGAATGACGATTTCTTCTTTATTGTATGTCACAACGTTTCTGGGCTATTCTTTGCCCTTTCGTCAGGTGAATTCACTTCTTCGATTCTTTATTGTATGTCACAACGTTTCCGGGCTATTCTTTGCCCCTTCGTCAGGTGAATTCACTTCTTCGATTCTTTATTGTATGTCACAACGTTTCCGGGCTATTCTTTGCCCCTTCGTCAGGTGAATTCACTTCTTCGATTCTTTATTGTATGTCACAACGTTTCCGGGCTATTCTTTGCCCCTTCGTCAGGTGAATTCACTTCTTCGATTCTTTATTGTATGTCACAACGTTTCTGGGCTATTCTT